AATTAATTAATAAACAAAAAATACAATGTAATGATCTTTCGAGATACTCTGAAAAATCAAATTCTACCACTTTTTATACTCGATACATCATTTTTATGCTCCATACATCAAAGCCCTAGCGAGCAAGACGACGGATGGCGGTTATCACGAAGAACCTTGCGATAACGCTTGGCGCCTCTTTTACCAAGATCTTTTCCTCCTTTGCCACGACCAGTCATTGTTGCTTGTTGCTTGCTGCCTGCTCACCACGCCCTCCGAAGCGAAAATGAGTTGAGGCTAGACAGCAGTGCTCTTTTATATCTTTTCAGCTTAAAGCAGAATGATGTGCAACCAAAAGATACTCGATTATGACGACTGGGTTTGGAAAGAACGTTTATTTCATGAAAAAAACAGTGATGAAATTATCGCTTTTTATTAGTACATTGAACAATGCTTGACATTACAACTTTTTTTTTGATAGTTTCGTGTTGAAAATCATCTGCCGGAAGCATTGCGATTGATGCATACACATATTTCTGATCGATTGGTGATAACATTATTGAAATTGGTCCAGGGGCAGCTGAGTTATTAATGTTCAAAATCTTTCATAATTTTGTTACATGTTCCATTTTTGATTTTCGCAAAGTGTACCCCTGTATAGAAATCACAGACCTGCGTCAAAAAAAAAAGTAGTGAAAGGTTATTTACTAAAAGGATTATTAAAATGATTTAAGTAAATTCCCATTCTGGGGCTTTGAAATTCGTATGGAGCCTAGAACTTTTCTCCAAAATTTGGGATTGATAACAAATTTTCGTTGCATCACGATTTGGAGAAAAAATAGTAAAATGTGAGATTTTTAAATTGTTCAAGAGCAACGATTTGAAAAAAAAAATATAATTTTTATTAAATAGTCGTGCAGTCATAATTGTCAAGGTTCTGAGACTTGGAAGCATTTTAAAGGCTACAGCAAATTACAGAACAGTCGATAGAATCTTGCGGACAAACCCTGAAATTTTTAGTAAAATTCAAAAGCATTCAAAGTGTTGATTTTAAACAAATATTGAGGAGGATTCCCACATAGTTTTCGAAGGAGAAGTTTTGAGCAGAATTCCAGAATTATTCTGACATGAAGTCCTTAGAAATGGCAAGAAGAATTTGGAGGGATTTCTGTGGAGAAGATTTCAAGTTCTAAATCAAAAATTGGTTTCAAAAGGAGTTGTAAAAAAAACTTTTAAGAAAATTTCTAATTTATTCTGTATGAGGATCGTGATAAAAAAGACAGATGAATTTTAAGAAGAATTCCAAGAGAATTATGATGCGAATTCAACAATACACAGAGTTCTAAGAGTGTTTTTGCGATACCCTAGTGCGAAAGATTCATCATAGAGCTCCAACAAAATTGATTGTAAAAGATGCTAATAATTAGAAAGAAATTTTTCAAAATACTCTAAGGGTTTCTAAATAAAACTCCAAAAGATTTAATCTGTTTCGAATAGAGTTAAAAGAAAATTTTAAAGCGAATTTCAAAGAAATTTAAGTCTTCGGATAGGTTCAAGGGAATGCTAAGACGGATTCCAATCAAATTCTTATATGGATAAGAAATAATCAGTGTTAATGTAAGTGTTAGTCTAATGTGAGTAAGAATAAGTTTCTACGTAGTCTGTTTAAAGATAAAGCAAATTAAATTAAAAAGGGGTTTCAAGGAAATTCAAAAAAGAATTCAACGGTAATTATTACGCGGAGTGTTTTTTGGTTAATTTCAAAAGAATTCCATGATGATTCATAGCAGAATTCCAAGCTTATTCTGGACTTCATATTATGAGACTTTTGATTAAAATTAAAACCCCGGAAAATAATAGTTCAGTTTCTGTTTTTATAAATATTTGATTCTTAAGTCCAGCATCTTCAATATTTTGTTTAATGCCCATGCTCATTACATCTGAAATTGAAACGACAAAAATCAATTTGAAATATTGCTGAGTTATTTAATTCTAAAAACAATATGCAGCAAATAGAGAAAGACATTCATTTGGTAAAGAATCACTCTGTTTTAATGAAATTCTGGTGTGAAAATTTATGCCTATGGTGTGGTTAACTTATTTTTTTCCCGGTTACTTTTCAAATTCTCGGATATTTCCCGGAATTCCTGGTTTTCCCGGATCGCTGGCAACCCTGCTGAAGCTTTCGATACAAATCCTTTCAATTTCGTTTCAAAATTATTTTCTAGTCGCTCCGGATTTTTTTGGGAATACTTTCCAGAATTCCGTAAAACCTTTGGATTATTCCAAATCTCATAGAAATTCCATCAATTTTTTTCCTATGAATTCATCCAAGTTCAGGACAGATTCCAATCTTTTTTTTCAAGCTCAAGATTTCTAAAATAATTTCTTACTACAATGTTTCACTTTCCAAAGTTCAACCGTAATGAACATGTTCAGCATAGCAGCCTTCGGATAATTCAAGACCAACAATTGAAAAGGCCTCAACTCCATTTTGTAAACAAACCTTGTAAGGCCATTTTGTTGCAAACCGAAGTACGCCAACGCAAACTAACACAATGAACAGGTAGGGGAAATTCTCCTCTGCCCGATTGTGATTTAGGTTTGCGAATGTAGGTTTTGGTTCGCGAGTAAATGGCCTTACAAGGTTTGTTCACAAAATGGAGTTGAGCCCTTTTCAATTGTTGGTCTTGAATTTTAATGTCTTGAATCTCAATGAGGCCTTGGAAATCTAGTTTCCTAATTAGTTGCATGTTTTGGGCTGTTTTGGTGTTTCAATCTGTTGAAATGCAATTACTTTTTTGGTGCTTTAAATCCATTTAAGAATTTTGAAGATAATTTTGGACTTAGAGCATTTGCATTTAATTTTGGTAGGTCACAAGCATATAAAATTCCTAAAAGTGGGTCGCATAAGAATAAAGTTTGAGAACCACTGTTCTAAGATCTTCAATATGCAAGTTTTAAGTACAAAATAGTGTTTCAGAATCTGTTATTAAATACACATTGTATGCATACAGTTGCATAACTTTTGATGAATCTTAATACTTATAGTTGATTTATTGCTTATTTATTATTGATACTTCTTGACTATTAAAGTATAGCATATCAGTAAACCTTTTAAATGCTCTCATTGAACTAATAAACAACAAGCTTTGGATATAAAAATGACCAAAATTACCGGTTTTCATAAGTTCTAAAACCGGGTTTTCGGTATTGCATTCACGGTATTACTGGTGTAGTCGGTTACCAAGGTCGGTTACCATCCAAGGTTTGAAATTTAACTATTTTACAGGTAACTTCATTAACATTTCGAAAGAGCGAAAGGAGGGTTCTTCGATGAAAAACATGTATTTCAAGAACAACATGTGGAAAGGGCGTACAAACTTATTGAAAACAAACCTTCTTATGCCCTTTTCTCGCCACCCATATGACACTGAAAACTTTTCCCTTCCCGATGATGTTGTTGGTTTGCGTGGGCAACCCTCGGTTGGCAAGAAAATGGCATACAAAGGAATGTTTAGAAAAATCTTGTATGCCCTTTTCACATGTGGTTCTTGATTTCTTTTAAAGAATCTACCAAACAATGAAAATTTTCAAAAGCGATAGGGGAATTTACGTATTCTCGGCAACCTAAGCAGCGACCTTCTTTCTATAGCCTTTTTCTCTAAGGAACGCACACATATGCAGTATTGGTTTGTTTACAATCTTTTGCTGCCAGCTGCTCTAACAATTTCAGTCGAAAGAATTGTCAAAAACTGTTTTGAAACGCTTTTACAAAGCTCCAATCTTCTCTAGTGAGAGCGAGTATTGTCGGCAATCAGTTTTTCTTCGGCAACCGTTCCATTTGAACTGCATGTAAATCTGCTGTTCTATTATCGGCAACTCGAAATCAGCTAAAATTTGTAGTGCGTGTGTTGCATTTCAAGAAAACCTTGCTAGATTGCTTTTTCTCAGTGGTAAAAATATAGTCAAATTGAAGCTGAAAGCATAAAGAATCGTTTGCATGCATTCAGCGAAGTGTTTTCGTAAGAAAATCCAGTGAAAATAGTGTTTCAATTTGGGTTGCCGAAAATAGTATGTCATGCCGAAGCCGTCATTTCCCCTAGGTGATTAAAGGGTCCTTAACTGTAAATAACGATGTTCTAAAATTTTAGCATTCAACGCCATCTTCTAGAGAAGTAAAAATCCAATTTGCGTGTAAAAATCCAAAAACAAAACAAAAGTTTGAACCGCTCGTGGCAGGCTTAAACCCTGGTAGGGATAATCCCCACCCAATCTTCTCAAACATTGACTTGGACAGCACGTAGATGTCGTTCGAGACGGAATTGTTTAGCAACTCGCTTACAATCTTTGTTTTTCCTGTTCTGATATTCCATGGAAAAAAAAAACAAAAGAAAAAGGTGGGATAAGCTGTGGTAGGGGAATCGATCCAGGTAATGTACGCACGTGTTTTCCAATTTGCTCCTGCTGGCGAAAAGAATAAGTAGAATAAGAAGAAACTAGCGCAATCATCATGGATGAATGTAGTATGAGGATACTTTTTGCATGTATCTTGCATCGTCATGAACCGACTACGGAGGGAGATGCGAGATAATGGTTGCCATATTCTGAAGGATGTGAACTTCTACTCTGTCGGTTGATTGTCGTCATGCCTGCATTCATGATGATAATGAGGGGGAGAGTGGGGGTCGATTTGCGTGTGGGTGGCGATGATCTTGGCGAACATGAGGTTTAGAAAACTACTGTTCTTTTCCCATTTAGCTTTGTTGTTGTCTACACCCCGTGATGATGACAACGATTGTAATGACGGTGAGAACATGTGTACAGCAAATGTACACAACCTTGTACCCCCTTGTTGAAGACAATATCGTGTGTATCTCTTTATTCCCAAAAAAAAAACAGTCCCCTCATTTTCCGAATTGAAGGTCATTATCGGCTGAATAGAAAACCGACACACGGCGGTGTGACTGAGCTGTAAGAGAACGGGTATGATTTTATAAATAATGAATAGAGGAATGTACCTGTTTGTGCATTTACTAGCGATGCTAAGAATAGCACGAGTAGTGGCGAATATCGTGAAATCAATTTGCACTCCATCTTGACGATTATCGACCCGATTTCATGAAAAATATGAACAGCGGCGGTCTGGCGTCGTCTTCGGCGTCGTCGCTTGCTGGGTTGCCTGGCTGAATCCAGAAGGAAGTGACTGGCGGAATCAGTGCTCGCTAGACTCGGGACAAATCCGAAGGCTAGCTGCTGTTCGCTGGCACTGTATCTGGCTGCTTCGACGACTGCTGGCACTGCTCCACACGACGGTCTAGGAATGATCCACTTTGCTGCTCCACTTTTCCTTGATTTTTGTTGTAGCTTTTGCTGTCGATTGACTTCTTCTTTTTATTTCGCTCTCTGTTCACTCACTCACTTTGGAGATATCCGACACAGAACTTTTCCTTAAACACCCCCTTTTTCCGATTACGCCGCGCGATCTCTCTCTCTCTCTCTCTCTTTATTTTCCACTCACTTGGGCTCTTCTTTTTCCTCCTCCACTGGTTTCTTCTATTGATAATTTTTAATGGCTTAATTTATTTCTCATTTCAAACACCGACCAATATTGGCTTCAGGGCAGGGTAATTAAAATTAATGCATTTATATATTTACAGAAATAACCGAATCAAACTCATATGAAGAAAAAAAATCACTCTCGCAAGCTAGAATTTCATCTATCTTTCCGCCACCATTCGGTTCGATTTCTCCGTTCAGAAGGGAAAAATAGAAATTCGGATGCTATTAATATTTCGGAAAAATGACACTTTTCTGATAGTGAAGTTTCGCTCTCCCACCTACTAATAGCAGCAGCGGTCGGTGTGCTTACGCTGGCAGTGCTAGTGCTTGCTCGTCGACCTTCAGTCCTTCCAACCAAAAATCAAATTCAATCACTTGCCCAACTTTCACGCCAATCGAAAAATAAACTGTAAATAATCAGCAACTTCTGCTCGAAAGTACCTTCTTATCCAACAATCAACCAATCACCGGGTAGCTCCACCATTCCGGTCCATCCATTCTAATTGGATTTTCTCCACTTGAAATTAAAAAGAAAAACATCGATCTGAATGCGAAAAAAGCGGAGCCAAACTAAACGTCGGAAAATCCACTCACAGACTGAAAAGTTCGATCGGTCGGGGGCCCACGGCTCTCACTCAAAACACGCGCACTCCCGCTAATGCTGGATGCCACTTGTGTGCCAGTGTGACACACTCTCATATATAGCCAACCGTCGACGTCCGTACATACTGATGGTCACACATTATTGGAAAGTGTCGGTACAAGAGTGTGTGTGTGTGCGTTCATGTGGTGGGATTTTATGGGTATAAGGAAAATAGTTTTCCCTCAGCATTTCCCAATATGCACGCGCTGCGTTCAATTGTCATTTTCTCACCCTCACATCTCTTTCCTCTCCGGTGTGATTGGGAGTGTGTGTGTGTGTGTGTGTCTGTGCGCGCGATTGTGGCAAATTTCTCACTCTCTCCGCGTGCTTTCGGTTTGCTCGCCTGTGGAAGGCATGCACCGGAGAGAATGTCAGTTTAGAGTGAATGGAAAAATTTATGTTGGCAGCTTTCCCGACTGGCGGAGTTGCCAGATTTCTGGTTTTCAGTTAATTTGTGCGAGAAAGAGTTAATCACTTTCCACTTGAACCGATGTTGACAAGTTGAAAGGATCGCACGCCATGTGTTTTAACGTGCAATAGCAAGCAAAGCAAATAGCTTAACGACGTGTTCGGGGCAGGGCTGGCAAATGTCATTTTCAATGAAAGATCTCCCGTGATATTTACAGAGATACTTCTGTCAATATCATTGGATGAGAAAATGATGATAGAGATTTTCTTCAAAATCTCATCGAATTTTTTGTCATAACAGAACGTGACAGTGTTGTGTTCATTGTAATTACTAGCTCATTTATTGCTATTATGAGGAAATCTTAATAATATATTTACTTTACCGATTACATACGGTTGCTTGCTTTTATTCATTTAAATCAGTTAGAAATCTTGAAGTCAAAACCGCATAAGAATTATTCTCATGAATGCTTGATCATTGGAATATGACAAGAAAGCCAATGATAGGACCTGTTTTCTCATTGTCACATGACGGCCGTGATATTTACCAGCTCTGGTTCGGGGTATCATCCAAACCATTTGTGGGATAGTTCTACCATTCTACCATGTTAGCGTTCGTTTATGGTATTTGTTTATTACAGGACTGGTATAAGCGATATAATAGTAGTGCTTCAGTGACTAAAATTACGGAAATAGTGACTTGTAAATATTAAATTAGTAACCATTTATATGGTATCTTAGAAATTCAAATACGGTTTGATATTGAACCGGCCTCCCTTAGCTCAGTTGGTTATGGCGCAGCTACAAAGCAAGACCATGCTGGAGGTGACTGGGTTCGATTCCCGGTTCGGTCTAGGAATTTTTCGGGTTGGAAAATTTCTCGACTCCCTGGGCATATTAGAGTATGATTGTATTTGCCACACAATTATACTAATGCAAAAAAGGTAGCAGGCATCGAAAGCTCTCAATTAATAACTGTGGAAGTGCATCTAGAACACTACGTGGAGAGCACGCAGTAAGCTAATATGCCATAATCAATATTGAAATAAACTTTTTATGTCATGGAACTTAAAATCAAATTTCATAAATTCCTCTAATTTAATTGAATCTCACAACGAAATCTCCTGTGAAGAGCATTTGATGTGATTTGAATAATTTACTTTTGCTTACGTTAAACATGATGACTAGCAAATAGTAATTCCCATTTTGTTATGATCTTGAATTTGATTCTGCGTTCGAAATCTCTAAATATTTGATATATCTAGGTAGATAACTTTGATAATTTGCTATGAACTTTTCACAGAATTTCTTCAGAATGATCTCAAGAACTTTTTTAGTTAAACTTAGATTCAGATAAGCTTTTACAAACATAATATTGCATACTTGAAATTATTTGCAGAACAATCAACAAAATTCTTGGAAATAGATTATTTTCGTAGTTCGAAACGCTTAACATCAAATATCAAAATTAAAGTGGATGATAGATGAGGAGATGAAAGTAAAGAGTTGATAGTTCCGCTATAGTATGGCAGTGTGAAATTTGTATATAGAAAGTAGAAAACGAACAAAGGACAATTTTAAGGAAGCTATGTAAATCGTTAAATTTAAGCATGAAGTAATAACACATGATTAGTTCAAGTAGATTATTTTCGATTTATTATTGATTGTTCTAGAAATTCTCTGTAGGCTCCTTCCATAAATCCATCCTTAGAATTTCCATGCAATTAACCTCAGAAGGTTCATAAATTTCTGCTTAGAATAATCTTGGACTTCTCCCTTGCATTCAATTGGAAATTCAATTCGTATTCTCCTTAGAATCCCCATAGTATTTCCTCGGCATTCTCAAAACAACAACTCTTCTCAGAATTCCTTTGAGATTGAACTCTCAAAATTCGATTCCATTGGAATTCTTCTCGGAATTTATTTCGAACTCTTTAGAATTCTCTTGGAAGTATCGTCAGAAATCACCCCAGAATTCTTTTAGAACTATCCGCATCTTTGGAGTTCACAGGACTTTCAGGAATTTTCATTAAGCATTAAGCATTTTGCATGCATTAAGCAAAATTTCAGAACTAATTTACGGATTCTTATTAGAATTGGACCTAGTATCCTCATCCTATCATCATAGAACTCTTGTTAAAATGCACTCTCAATTACATTAGAATTATTTCCAAAAATGTTTCGGAGCTGACATTTGCGTCTCTAATAATTTAACCAACGCTTGTATGTGTTAAGCCAAGTTTAACTATATAGGTAAACCTGGCTTAAGATTTAAGCGGAGATGAAGAAATCGGTCCTCAGAACACTTAATTTTACATGAGACTTTCGTAGGCTGTACTTTGGTATTCTTCTCTGATATATATCTTGGTGTCATCCCTAGAATCCTTTAAAATCCTCTTTTAAATCTAAATTGAAGGCATTTCCCAATAGTTTTCCTGGTGTTCTAACGTTTTGCGGTTCACCCTGGTTAAAATTTTCAAATTTTTAACAGATATGTTATTTTGTTAAAACTACTGTAGACTTTCTAAGTGCCACGTACTCAATTTAAACATTTTGTGTATATTTTTAAACTTCACTCTATTTTAGTAGTGAAAAAGTGACTTTAGTGACTATTTTTAGGGAAATAGTTACTTTAGTGACTTTTTGGTTTAAAAAGTGACTTTTTAGTGACTGGCTTAAAAATAGTGACCAAGTCACTAAAAGTGACGTGCTACCAGCCCTGTTATTAGGATAATTATGTAATATTTTCAAACGATCCGGAACGTCACACAGTGGTCCAGGACTGTGAAAAGACGGTCAAAAGTAATTATCTCGTGAATTTTGCATTTTAGATAAGTGGTGTCTTCGGGAAAGTTTCTGGATATGAAACGCCTCTTCTCTTGAGATTGACACATTAATGACACTCGTTTACAGCATATTTGAACTTTGTTCACTGATGGTCATTTATCATGTAAAATCGTGAGCTGAATCCAAAAATGTAGCCCACAAAATCTCAGTAGGATAGTTTTCGAGATAGAGCTAAAAATGAAATTTCACTTTAAAAAAATGTGTTTACTAAAATACAAATATCTCCGGTTGCAATAAAGAAATATTAATTAGTTTAATTTTTTTAGTTTATTTATTATATTTTGGGAAAATTTAATTTCTGGTAAGTTTTTAAGCAGTGTAAATAAAAATGTTTGTAGTGGTTGTACCACTAATTTCACTGAAAAATATATTCCGAAATATCGGAAGCAAATTTGATCACCGTTAAGATCAAATTTGCTTCCGATATTTCGGAATATATTTTTCAGTGAAATTAGTGGTACAACCACTACAAACATTTTTATTTACACTGCTTAAAAACTTACCAGAAATTAAATTTTCCAAAAATATAATAAATAAACTATTAAATAACAACAAAACCACTAATCTCACAGACAGCTAATGTTCAGATGATCGGAAAAAAATTGTCTTACCTTTAATTTGGCGTTAAAATAATTGATATAGTCTGTATAGATATAGTGAATTTTCATTTTTTAGCTGTGTCTCGAAAACTATCCTACTGAGATTTTTTGACTACATTTTTGGGTTCAGCGCATGATTTTACATAGGATCACGGTTCAAAGATCAAAGTTTATTTTTTTTACTTTTATTTGTAAACTAGTGTGATTGATCCCCCTAGAAGTGAGATCCAACGTTTATTTTATTTTCTAAAATTTCATATCCCGGATCGATGACTTCGGCAAAGTTTTAGAAAAAATCAAGACAAGAAGGTGTCAACTAGGTGTATATTTCTTGATCTCATTGAAATATGGTAGCAAATTGCTTTCAAATGGTTAAAATATATTATTTTCTAACTAAATCCAGTATTACTTGCCTATTTCAGGATCCAGTATGGTGGAGTATGATATTCCTAAAAGTCATGTGTATTGATGCTTTGAACAACTTAGTAGAACATTGCAAAACAGGAAAATAATTATAAAGTAAAAACTTTTATTAAGGTGTTTTCCAAAAACAAAAGACGATTCATATTTCAATGAGCTAAAGAAATAGACACCTACACTCAAAAAATTCCTCACGTCATCTTCATCCTGAA